CAGTGTCATGATGATGAAAACTATTCATTAAATTCTGTGAGTTCATAGTCCACAATTGGAGATGCACTTTAAAAACACCCTAATATGAAACCTTCAAGCTTACTTAAGAGCAAAATAAAACCAAACTAGGATGTAGAGCTTCCTGAATCCCATTGGCGTTGTCCAAGGATCATTATTGGTGTCTCCCTGGGATGTGAGGGTTGACTTTTCGGAACACAGTTTGGGGAATTCTACCTGAAATCATTAATATCCTCATTCCTAATTTTATTTTTCAGTCCTAAAACATAATTTATTTATAAACTTAATTTTGTTTATATAGTACCAACTTTTTGGCTAATTAAATTCTCAGTAACTTCTACTTTAATTATAACAGCCAGTTCACAATCATAATAATGTAAGTTTCTTCTCTCATAACAACAGTTGAGATCAAATTGAGTTTCAGCAAAACTGGAGCCCGTCTCTCTCTAAAGTCCTGAGCTTTGGCACCCAACTCACAATCACTGAGTCTTTTTCTTCAGTCTGACCACTAAATCCAGGAGTAAAAAACCAGTCCTTTCTGGCTGCATTTCATAGCTTCTTTTGAGTTCATAAGAGTCTGATGTTACAGTATATAATTCAAAACTAGTTTTAAAGATTAACCTTTCTTAAACAAGTGGGTATTATGCTTTTTTTCCTTCAAATTCGTCTAATTTTTGGAAGTACAGTAAGTTTGCATTTGTTCTCATCAGGTTTTGAAAATGATCATTCAGTACATTTACTGTTGGTAAAATAAAGGTTTCCTGAGAATATTAATAGAGCTAATTGGCCCTTAGGAATGGTTTTGAAAAAACGTTTATTGTGGGGTAATAGTGCATTGTTCTCAATGGGATGGGTGAGCTTTTTTGGAATCACTTATGCAACTTTTATCTAAATGTTTCTCTAAACACATGCATTCCATTTCTCCTCCCCCAAAACACTCTCACAAGCCTTCTGATAAGCTGAGGAGGGATGGAAGGCATTTTTATGTGGAGAAAAGCATCTGGGATGATTTTGATTTTAACTCTAATTCATGTGTTCTCAAACTTTGGTGCACTTTGCAATCACCTGAGAAGCTTTCAAAACAACCCCAGGTCATACCCAATGCCAGATGAATCAGGTCAACTCACAGTGGGGGAAGGCAGTTTGTCAAACTCCTCTGAGGACCCCAATGCACAGCCAAGCCTGGGAACCACACTGCCTGGTTAGAGGGTAGGAGGAAGAGAACCGCTTCTCACTCTTGGTGGGACCTTGCGGAAGTCAGTTTTAAGCCTTGGTTACCTTTTCTGTAAAATGGGTTGTTGAATTAAATATTACAAGTTCATTGGCTCTTTTCAGCTTCTATACTTAAAATTCTGTGATTTTAAAATCAATTTGAAGATGAAACTGTTTGAAGCACTATACAAGTACCCATCTTTGATGCTAACAAGGCTACAGGCCTTTTTAGAAGTGCTAATATTCTATAACCTAGTTATAAAATTCAAATTTGCTTCCCTCAATTATTTTGAGCTTCATATTAGACACTGAGGGCAAAGAGGAAAAGCATGGAACTTAATCTACAGCACTCCTTTGTTTCATGTTACACAGCATCTGGGAATAACTTAGGGATATAGTAACTTACACAGTATCTAAGGACTTACATCTGCTCATTAAATTATATTTAAAGTAATTTGGAAATAAATGTTACTAATATTACACTGTATATTACTTGCTGCATTGCTAGCACTGCTAATTGTAGAATTGTTATAACTATTGATTTTGTGGGTTCTAACATTTGCCATTAAATTTTCTAACAATTATGTAAAAGTGACCTTAAATGATTCTGTTTGGTAGAGAGCATTCTATTTACCTTTATGGAAATGACAGACAATGGGTGGGCAGGTGGAAAAACTACTATATAGCTTAAATTGAAGCATGTGCACAAATAGATCTAACATGTACAGGATGAAAGGTTCTATGGGTAGAAGGGGAAATGACAGGGGAAGCGTATAATATCTTTTTTTTATAATATCTTATATATTATAATAATCACTGGAAACATGTCTTCTTACTAAATATGCCCTAGCATTTTGGTTTTCTAATTTTGCTAAAAGATAAAGAAATAGAACAAGGTGAAGAGTGCCCATGTGATACTGTCCTGAATGAGAATCTCATGGCCACTGGGCAGGTGGGAAGGTCTTCCCCCACCACAACCCTTTTAAAACATGTCTTCAGACATGACATAAAGTCAATTGTTACCTTTTCTTTTCTCCACAGCCTGGCACTAGCAATATATCACCACATAAAGAACAGGTGAGTTTTAAACCTGTCTTGTTATTCTAGCTAATAAACTTACAAGATATGAAGTTAGTGTTAGGTTTTAACTATAGGCATTGTTGGAGTAGGCTATAGTGCTTTTATTACATTATTAAAGGCCCAATGCACGAAATTCGTGCAAGGGGCTTGGCCCTCGCAACCCTGGCTTGCCTGGGTCCTCACAGGAGCCCCAGAAGGTCGTTCTGTCATCTGGTCTAATTAGCATATTGTGCTTTTATTATTATAGATTGAAGTGAATCACTTGTTTTTGTCTTAAGAGTCTTAATGCTTAAGTTATTGAGGATCCCAAAGAATATTTGTTTATGTGGGCTATATTGATATTTACTGTATTAGAAATTAAAATTGAGACTTTAAAAATAAACCCCCTGTATGTTGAAACATGGTTTTTACAGCATTGTTGAACTTTTGAGCAGGATACTGCTTTGCTGTGCAGATTGCCTTGTGCGTTACAGGGTGTTTACAGCTTCCCCGGCCTCTCCTCACTAGATGCCAGTAGCACCCTCTTCCCAGGCCTCATTGTGACAACAAAAAGTCTCCTCCATGATGGAATGCTTCCTGGGGGACTAAATTGCCCCTGATAGGGAGCCATAGCATTAACATGATTCTTTATAAAGGAGAATCATTTTCCATAACAAATAGGCCAAGTGGAAATTGTGTCATTTATTTTCATTTTGCAAATCTCTTTATGTCTGGTGTAACAGAAGACAGCTGATTCTCATGTCCACCCTGTCTTCACACCTTTGTGATTACTTCAGTCATCTCAATAATTTGTTTTGAATAAACAATTGAAGACCCAGCCTCATGTAGCTTTATGGGCATATTTTTAAAGCTTTCAGAAAATTGTGTATATTCTTTGATACTGTACTAAAAGTCCACAAGAGCTGGCTTCTTAAATTAGTTTCATGAACTTGTACTAAGGCCTCTTTTAAATTCGTACCCATTCATATATCTTGTATGCTGAATGAATCTTTTTACTTGTAAGTAATTTTGTAATATTATGCATTGATCACTTGGAAAGTATTGGTCCACATTTCTGTATACACTATCAAAACTCACTTTTGTTAGTTAGTGTCATTATCACCACCACTCTTCCCAGAAAACCATTAAGTATTGAAAAGCTGTCAAGCTCACAAAAAAAGTACAAGTTTGCCCTATTCTTGATTTTCAGCTTGACAGCTGGAATTGTGCAATTGGCAAGAAATGTATAAGTTATTTTCCTTGAAGTGACAGGCTCACTTTTCAGCTTTGAGATTATGACACTTGTACTATGAACTAAAGATGTTATTCTATGAAAACAGTAGCTCATTCAGCTCACAACTAAGTTAAAGTCCAAGTGCTTTTCCTTAACACACCCACATTTCAGTATGCATACTTCCCCTTACTCAGAATATAAAAAGAAGGATCAATTTTTAATAGCATTATTCATTGTTAATTCTTTATCAAAGATGTGCTTAAGTAGATTTGTTTTCAACAAGTGGCAGTGAGAATAGAATGAGACTACTAGCACAGGGCGGGACCCCTGCCTTGATTCTCATTCAGAAACCAGTTTTACTGACTTTTGCTTTTATACAGTAATTGCAAATGTCAGTGTAAATGCAGGCAGTGCCTTAATATTTCTATACAAACAGTTTTGGCCTCATGGGTCTCCTAAAAATGTGGTCTGCAAACTGTGGCTTGTGAGGCACATGCGGCTCTTTGGCCCCTTGAGTGTGGCTCTTCCACAAAATACCGACTTCTGTGCATGGGCCACGAAGTTTCAATAGCACTATATGTGCACGCCCGCACATGGTATTTTGTGGGAGAGCCACACTCAAGGGGCCAAAGAGCCGCATGTGCCTCACAAGCCACAGTTTGCAGACCACTGCTCTAGTGGAACCACTGAAGCCTGCAAAACACACTTGGAGAAACACTGTGTAAATGAGCAGAGTGTATTAGTGTGGAAAATTAAACTTTAAAAAAAAAGAAGCAGCCTGGTTTCCCTGGCACAGTTGGTTGGAGCATCGTCCTGTACACGACAAAGTGGCAGGTTCAATTCCAAGTCAGGGCAGCACGTACCAGGTTGTGGGTTCAATTCTCTCAGGCCACGTACGTAGGTTTCTGGTTCGATCACCAGTCCAGCATTTGCAGGAAGCAGCCAATCGATTTTTTTCTCTCTCTCTACCTCTCTCTAAAATCAATAGACTGTTCACTTTTAAAATAAAAAGGCAAGATTTTAACTCAGACTAGTTTGAAGAGACCAGAAGAAATACATAGTAAGAATATAATATAGGAAAGTGATAAAACAAACAGTGAAAAAACAGGAACTCATATTCACCATGAATGCTTGCCCACCACTACTGCTTTATAAAATGTTCCTGTGTCTGCCAATGAGAGGTTAGAGGACTGGCCATCGATTTGATTGACTAGCATTGCCTATTAGGGAGGGTCAATGCTTATAAAGGCAACTCTGGCAGGTCATTGTAGAAAAGATTTCACAGAACTTGATGTGCTGAGTAAAAAGAGGTCAGAAAATTCCTACAGGATCTAAGAGAAGAATTTGTAGAAGGACTTTCTTTGTTGAAGGTTAAGTTCCCTCCACCCCTCTCTACTCCCAGCAGATGTGTTGCTAACACAACAATTCTTGGATTAGTTTTTAAAATCATGTCCTTATTTTCTAGAGATGCAAATAGATCCAAGGACATTTTTGATGAGAGGATCCATCCTTTCACAGTAAGTGCCAGTTGTATTGATGTTGTCTTTTTCTCTCAGACAGTTGTCTTTATTCCTGCTGCTTTGCTTTGAAATTAATCACTAGTAGAAAATTACTCCCTCCAGCTTGGAGTCAACATTATCTTCCTGTAAGTTTTCTTCCCCACCCATGTTGTATCTAATAATTTAACAAAAGGAATGTTGTATAAGAAATATGTCAGCAAGACCTGAGTTTCAGCTTCCTATACTAGTAATTAGTGAGCTAAAGTGAGTCAACATACCCCAAAAAACAAAAAAATGTATCTTTAAAAAGATAATTGCATAATTTTTAAAAAAAATATATTTTATTGATTTTTTACAGAGAAGAAGGGAGAGGGATAGAGAGTTAGAAACATTGATGAGAGAGATCAATCAGCTGCCGCCTGCACGCCCCCCAGGGGGGATGTGCCCGCAACCAAGGTACATGCCCTTGACCGGAATCAAACCTGGGACCCTTCAGTCCGCAGGCCGACGCTCTATCCACTGAGCCAAACCGGTTCGGCAATAATTGCATAATTTTTATCATCATGCAATACGAATGTTTATAAATAAACAGATATGTGAAATATCTCTATGAATAAAATAAAAAAACTAAATTAATTAGAACTACAGAAACATTTTTAGCTCACTTCCTCAGACATGCTCTATAGCACGGTGTGGCTGTGACCCTGCACAGCACAGCACAGCCTTAGAGCCCGATGGTTACAGGAAACCGAAAGCACATTTTTAGAGTTGATTGCAGAGAAGTATGACATGGCGACCAGCAAGTCTTTTGAGCCTAAAAATAGTTTGCATTTAGACTGAATCCTGTTGGGGGAAGGTGGAAAGGAATATACAGTTTCTGAGGTTGTGCCTGTGTTTATCTTTAGTGAGTGTTGGTATTCAATCACTATTGTTTTTTAAGGTCCCATTGTTTATATTTAAAAGACTAAGAGACATGTCACCCAATCAAAATTATTTTAAGGGGCACGTGGGCACAAGTGGCAGACTGCTGCCATAAAAGTACTTAAGCATTTTTCTTCAGTGGATACTTACATTGCATTTTTTTCTCTTTTCAGCAGGACATGGTTCAGGAGGAACACTTTACCACGGTTCAGGAGGAA